CCGCTCCCCTCCCAGAGCCAGGGAGAGAACCCAGGAGTCCTGGCTCCAGGCCCCCCAACGTCTAACCACTAGGCCCAGCCCCCAGCGGGAGCCGTCCGGACGTTCCTGGTGAGCTTAGCCTGAGAACATCCTGGCGCGTGAGGCGTCTGATGTCCTGAAAGGAGCCATTGTCTGACACGGGGGCTGGGCGCTCGGAGCAACCAACGTGGTGGGGCCAGAGGGACATGGGGAGGTGCCGGGGCTGAGCTGTGTGTGATCCGGGGGGGGGGGGGGCTGAGGTGTGTGTGATCCCCCCGGGGGAGGCTGACCCCTCTGCATGTCCCCCTCAGGTGTGTCTCCACTCTGCACGCGCTCATCGTCGGCCTCTTCTGCCTCTACATCCTCTTCTTCGATGGAGCCATTAACGCCAACCCCATCTGGTGAGCTCCCCCGGTGCCCTACACTCCCTGACCCACAGCCCCCCGCCCCCCCCCCCCCCCGCCCCCCTGGCGCCCCTCCCTCCCGACCCACAGCCCCCTGCTCCCCACCCCACAGCTCCCCGGTGCCCCCTGCTCCCCGCCCCATAGCTCCCCCTGTGCCCCTCACTCATTCCCGACCCACAGCCCCCTGCTCCCCACCCCACAGCTCCCCCAGTGCCCCTCACCCCCAACCCGCAGCCCCCTGCTCCCCGCCGCACAGCTCCCCCGGTGCCTCCTGCTCCCTACCCCACAGCTCCCCCGGTGCCCCTCACTCCCAACCCACAGCCCCCTGCACTCCCAGCCCTGGGCTTCTCCCCCACCCCCCACACACAATTCTGTAGCTGGCTGCAGCCCATGCTCGGAATTGGGGGGGGGGGGGCAGAATTGCCCTGGTCCCTTTCCCAAGCCCTGTCTCTCACAGCTGGTTGGAAGGTGCCAGCCCTGGGCCGGGGGGGGGCGGGGTGAGAGGGGGGTCCCGTGGGCCCGAGGTCACATGGTGGCAGAGGTGATAAAAGGCTGTTTTGTGCCTGGGAAGAATGGCCCCCTTGTTCCCTGGCTGCCAGGAGCCAGAGCCGCCCGTGCAGCTGGCATCGGCTGGGCAGAGGGGGCTGCGCGGTGCGGCTGGGCACAACCACTTGCATTGGGGAGCGGAGCCCGGGGGCTGGCATGGTGCCCGGGCATGGGAGTTGCATGCGAGGAGGATCTGGGGCCCAGGGTCTGGGGGGACTGAGCATCTGAAGGGGGGAGCTGGCCCCGTGATCACCCTCCCACCCAATACTAACCCCCCCACCCCATCCCATGCCAGCCCCTCATCCCCTGACTCCTTGTGCTTCCAGGGGGGACCCTTACCTGGTGAAACTCAACGTGGCCATCACCTGCGGCTACCTGCTCTACGGTAAACACTGGGGGCACCGCGCTGCCCCTGCTGGCCGGCCTGGGGACTGCGACCCCCAGCTCCTTGGCCTCCCTGACCTGGGGGGACCCCAAAACTGGGATTTCAGACACAAAATTATCTAAAAACCTAAAAAAACGGGGAAACTTCTTACAATTTGGGTGGCTTTTTCCTTCTAGGGTGACCAGATGTCCCAATTTTAAAGGAACAGTCCCGATTTTTGGGTCTTTTTCTTATATAGGCTCCTATTACCCCCCACCCCCGTCCCGATTTTTCACATTTGCTGTCTGCTCCCCCTATTTCCTTCTAGAGTAAAAGGAGCCGCCAACTGCTGGGGCCATGGGCCTGGGGGGCTGCCCAGCAGGGCTAGGCTTTGGGGCTGAAGCAGAGAGCTGCAGTGGGGCAGCTGGGCAATCAGGGGGGCTGGACCCTGAAACCCCACCCAAGTGGGAGCTGTTTGCCCCCCCCCCAAAGCTGAGGATCCCAGGGATAGATGGAAGCTCCAGGAGAAATCCGGGTGCCCAGCCCCGGGGGCGGGTCTCCCAGGCAGTGAATGGTTTGTAGGGCCCCAAAGGGCAGACTCCAGCCAGGGGACGCCCACCGGCTATGGGCCCCGCTCCGAGGGACGGGGCGGGAGGTGCCAGGCGTGCGGGAGGGGGGATGTGGGGAGAGTGGGGAGGGGCGGCTGTGTGTGTGTTGCAGGGCGTGTGTGTGTTTGTGCATTTCCCCATTGCTCAGCCTGACCCAGCGCCCCCCCCTCCCCGGCGCCCCAGCACACTGACCTGTCCCCCCTTGCCCCCTCCCCCCATTAAAACCCCTCGCTCTGTGTTCCAATTCCAGATTTGCTGCTGCTCCTGCGCTACTGGAAGACGCTGGGCGACTCCCTGTTCATTTGCCACCACTTGGTGGCGCTGTACGCCTACGGCTACGTGCTGGTCAGTGCCAGGCCCGGCCGGCCGCTCTGGGGCAGGCTCCCTCCCCTGTCCCTGCCCCCCAGATCTCTGCTCCCTCTGTGCTTCCCCTGCACACACACACACCCCCCCGCTACTTCCTTTGCCCCCACGCCGAGGGCAGCGGCTGGCTCCATCCAGGCTCCAAGTTCAGCTTCAATCCCCCCCTTTAAACCCAGCTAGAATCCACTCCCCACCCCCGTTTCAAGTCAGAGCTCCGATTTCAGCCCCCGTTCGCCAGCTGGCGTCCCCCCTCCCCAGGCCTGGCGGGGCGGGAACGCAGCCAGAACAGAGGAGCTAAAATCACCTGCCTCCGGGAGCCTGGGCTGGGTTTGGGGGTAAGGGACTGGGATTCACGAGAGCTGGGTTCGAAGGGGACTGGCCGCTGCTGGAGACGGGATACCAGGGTAGATGGGCCCGGTCCCTGTTCTGCAGCAGGGAGGGGCTCATCTCAGAGGGTTTAACACCAGGAGGGAACCTTAGATCTAGTCTGACCTCCTGTGTGGCACAGGCTGGAGAATTTCACCCACCTCCTGCCCAAGAGATTAGCTCAAGGCAGAGAGCGCGGCCCCTTGAGAGGAGCCCCGCCGGGCCCTGGACTCCCCCCTTTGTGTGCGGCTCGGGGAGGGGGCACCCGGGGCAGATGGCGAGGGCTGGACCAGGGAGGAAGGATGGCCACAGACAGCCTGTGTGACCCTGGGCCAGTTGTGTAGCTGCTCGGTGCCTCAGTTTCCCCTTTGTATAATAGCCCTGCACACACGCACACACGCCCCCGCCAGGGGCATCGTGAGGCTAAATACACCAACTATGGTGAGGTGCCCAGATGCCACGGTGATGGCGGCTGAACTGCGCACCCACTGTGGCTGCAGGGCTGTGCTGGGAGACAGTTGAGCCTTTCCCACACACACCCCCAGGCGGCTTCCCTTGGTAGCCAGCGACTCGCCAGGGGGCTGCTTGCCTGTGCAGCCCCAGCTGCTTGTTAGCACCAAAGCTCCCCGGGCCAGGAAGGAGGCTCCGGCAGCCGAGAGCCATGGAACGTCCTGGGCCGAGCACTGCCCGGAAACCCCCCCTTCAGGCAGCTCAGGCTGGTCACCCAGAAACCAAGGGCTGCTTTTGAAAATCTCCGTCCAAAAAGCCTTAGGTGGGTGTCAGTGACCTGATATTGTGTATTACGGTAGCACCTAGGCACCCTGGTCACAGGCTGGTAGGCAGTGTACATTTATTCGGTGTATTACGGTAGCACCTAGGTGCCCTGGTCATGGCAGGGACCCCGTTGTGCTGGGCGCTGCACAGACACAGAACGATAATTTCTGAGCTCCCAGCTCCATCCAGCCCCTGCCTTGGGGCGCCCGAGTCCTGGGGAAGAAAGCTGCCTCTTACCCTAGGACTGCCCAGCCCCCGGGTCCCGACCCACTGCCCCCCCAGCTCTGACAGGTGCCGGCACCAGCTGCCCCTGGGGAAGGGGAAAGAACCCTGCAGGGGGGGGATCCGCTCCCCCACTAAGGGATCATGCGACGCCCCGAAGGGTTAACGGCCCTTCCCCCCGGTCTGCTCAGCCCAGCGCTGCCATCCCTAGCCGGTCCCAGATCACTGGGGAGGAGCCTCGTTGGCTTCCGAATCGGGACTTTCTACCGGTATTTGGGGTTCGCCTTATGAACCGGGGGGGGTTGCAGCCGTAGCCGGCTTCCCCTGGCGCTGGCAGCTTTATCCACCCCGCTGATATCTCGGCCCCCACGCGGGCCAGAACGCTGCTTTGCCTTTGCTGCGAGAGCTGGATTCTCCCGGGACTCCAGGAGCTGGGGATTGAAACCGACTCTCACCCAACTCTGGGAGCTGGGGCGTCGGCTCAGAAACAGGGGGCGCTGGGGACCAAGCTGTGGCAGCACATAGAATACAGGGGACTGTATTCCAGCCTGCAGCGTCTTGGGTAGGATCGTAGGGACCTATGAAAAGTCAGGGGGGCAAACCAAGGTGTGGGGGGGCAACTGCCCCCCCTCCTCATAGCAAGTGACGCCCCTGCTTGGCAGCCCTGTTAGCATCGGCCAGGCCTGTGAACTGGGCTATTCACTTGTGCCGTGTTTTCGTCTGGGTCAGTCTCCCCTGTTTGTGGGGCCGTCGGCCCCTCAGAACTTAGCCAGCGGAAAGAGTCAGGACCCAGCCCCAGCTGGCGTCTCTCACCCCGCTCTGCCCCCTGCGCTGCGCCCCGGCCATGGGAACATCTCAACATTTGTGACTCCTTACCAAACAACCGGCCCTCCCTGGTGCGACCCTGGTACTGAGCTCCCCAGGGGATCACAGCTGAGCCCCCCACAGCTGTCAGACACAGCCCCACCAGCGGGGGCGGACACCCAGAGGGAGCCTGGCCTAAATATTTGGACAGCTCTTTGAACAGGGGTGGGGCAGGTTGAGATTGGGAGCCATTCACAGAGCTGGGTAGGGGAGACCCAGGGCTGGGGTTATGGGGCTGCGAGTCGGGACTGAAGGGCACTAGCAGGGCTGGGGTGGGGGGCAGAATCCCAGAGCTGGGCTAGCAAGGGTCTGGGGTTTGGGACTGAGGGGCACTGGCAGGGCTGGGGGGCGGGATCCCAGGGCTGGGCTAGCAGGGGGCTGCGGGTCGGGAGTGAGGGGCACTGGCAGGGCTGCGGCGGGGGCGGGGGCGGGGGGGGGGGGGGGGGGGGGGGGGGGGGGGGGGGGTGTGGACTCTGCTCATGGGTCTAGGTCCTCAGGGAAATGACTCTGCCTTGGGGTCTGTGAGTCCAGCGGACCCTGCCCCCCGCTATGCTCTTTTCCTCCCTTTCTTCCTGCTGGCTCCCCCCCACCCCCCGTCTCTGGGGTGGTCCCCGAGCAGGCCTGGGGTGGAGGATCCGTCCCCTTCCCTCTGTGTGGGGGGGATGTCCCCCCCCCCACGAGCCCCTTGGGGCAGGGGATTAACGGCCTCTCTCTCCCCCAGAGCCGAGGGGTGCTACCCTATTTCGCCAACTTCCGCCTCCTGTCCGAGCTCTCCACTCCATTCGTCAACCTGCGGTGAGTCGGGGGCCGGGGGAGGGGGTCTGGGCAGGGGCTGGAGCTGGGGGGCTCTAAGGTGCCTGAGCATCCCAGTGGGACATGGATTCAAATTTTCCCGAGGCGCTGGGGGATGGGGATGGTGCCGCTACCCCAGAGGATGCTGGGATGCAGACGGTGTGGGGAGGCGGGCTGAAGGGTAGGACAGGCAGTGACCCTAGATCAGTGGGGCTCGGAGTTAACACCGCTGTGACTTGCATCAGGGCAGCTTCCACCCCCCACCCGGGCTGGGCAATTGGCTCAGGCTCTCTGCAAACTCAGGCAGCGTCAGTTACCCCTCCTGCTTAATGAGAGCGCTGATGTGATCATGTGACACCAGGAGCTGGAGGGGGCGGGGCCTGGGGCTGTTTAAAGTGACCGCGCTCCTTTGTCGTGGCCCAGGTGGTTCTTTGACACCGTGGGGCAGCCCCGTTCCTCCTGGTTCGTCCTGGCCAACGGCCTGGCCATGACCGTGGTCTTCTTCCTGGTACGCATCGCCGTCATCCCCAGCTACTACGCCCGCGTGCTGGCCTGGTACGGCACGCCCGAGTACGCCCGCCTGGGGCTCGCCGTGCAGGTGGCCTGGATCGTGCCCAGCCTAGCCCTGGAGGTCCTCAACCTGATCTGGATGTACAAGATCGTCCGGGGCTTCTACCGGGCCTTCTGCCGGCCCCAGGAGCGCAAGGCGGCCTGCAGCCACAGCGACTAAGCGGGAGCTGGACTTCCCCAGGAGGCACGGCCGGGGGGCCCCTAAACTCCCGGCAGAGATGGAAGATCCACTCTAGTTCCCATCAGAGCCCACAGCAACAGAAATACCCTGGCCTAGCACGTGCCGCCAGGCACCCGGACTGGCCCCCACTGAGCACCAGGGGCATCTGGACTGGCACGTGCCCTGCGGGCACCTAGGAAATTCATGGAGATCACAGACTGGCATATGCCCCAGGCACCCAGGAAATCCATGAGGCACCGGGACTGGCACTGAACACTTGGGACGTCTGGACTGGCCCACGCCCCTGGCTGGGAGCTCGGTGGGGGCCCGTCTGTGGGGCTGGCAGTGCCCCTCACAGAGGGCTAAGGCTGCCCAACCCCCAGCTAAGGGTGTCTTTGGGGGGGCCTGCGTGTCCATGCATAAGGGGCGCAGAGGCTCCTGCCGGGTGGGGGGTCCCATGGGGCAGGGGCAGAGCGGGGAGCCATGGTAGGGCCACGTTGCAGCCTCTTGAACGGCTTCCCCAGGCCCCCGCACCCCCTCCCACTCGTGCAAAAAGCAGGAGGAGCCCCACACTACTGGGCTGGAAAGTTGGGGGGGGCGGGGCCCACGTGCACTGAACCCCCAAGGGCCAAGGGTTATACGTAGCTTTTGAGGACACCCCCGTGCCCCAGGATCCTGCAGTCTGACCCTGGCCCCTCCCTCCCAGACGCCTCCTGACCCATAGCACCCCCCGTCCATAAAGCCCTGGCCCCCTGCCCAACAGGACGGGGCAGCGCCCTGGGGCTGATCCTGCTGTGGTGGGGGGAGCTGGGAGGGCACCCGGGCCCCAGCAGGGGTGTCTCTACCACAGGTCAGCCCCCAGCTAAACCTACCCCCTTGGGCTGGGGCCCCAGAGAACCGGGCTCTAGGCCCTGCCTCTGTGCCTCAGTTTCCCTGTCTGTTAAAGGGGGACAATGCCCCTTCATCTGTGCCTTCTCTCTTCAGACTGGGAGCTTTTCGGGGCAAGCCTGTCCCTCACTCTGTATCTGTGCAGCGCCCGGCACGGCCGGGGGGGCCCCGATCTCAGCCTGGGCAGCTCCCAGCACGGCCGGGGGCCCCCGATCTCGGCCAGGCCCGTACAGCGCCCCTTGATCTCGGCCTGGGCCTCTAGGCATTTGCACGCTCCCAGTGACACTCTGAAGTAGCCTCCCACAGCAGGTCTCGCTCCGGTCGGCGCCGAGATCGGGGTTTTCGGACGATTTCCAGTGGAGAATCTCAAACGCCTTCTCGGTTCCTTGTTTCATAACTGACATTTCTGCCCTAGTGAGGAATTAACCCTCCCCCCTCGATACTAATTTATTAACCCCAACCCCCCCACACACACTCTGGGCCAGGGGGACGAGCGCCCAGCTCACCCTCAAACCAGGCTGGGCTCCGGCCACGTTTGCCTCCAGTGTCTGTCTGTCAGGGGAGGGGCGGGACCCGCATTGGGGGTGTCAGGGGACAGGCCACTGGGCTGGGACTCAGGACACCTGCGGTCTGTGCCCAGCTCTGCCGGTGGCCGGCTGGGTGACTCTGCACAAGTCACTGCCCATTCTGTGCCTCAGTTTCCCCTCTCGCCCTTTGTTTAGATTGTGAGCTTGTTGGGGCAGGGACTGTATTTCATTCTGGGTCTGGGCAGCCCCCGGCACAATGGGGG